CCGCGCGGAGTGGTACGGTCCAAGCTGCGCATGCGCGATGTGGCAGTCGGGAGAGGTGAGTGCATGCGCAGTGGGAATGGCTGTGATGGTGGTGTGCGCATGCGCAGTGGCACGGCGTGGGCAGCGCGAGGGCATGGCGGCTGGGAGAGGGGCGGCGGGGCGGGGTCTGCCTGGGGGTGGGAGGGGGTGTGGTGTGGGGGTACGGCTGTGGGGCTGTTGTAGGGATACAGGGGGTCGTGTGAGGGCTGGGGTCAGCGTGAGGCCTAGGGCCGATATGGGGCCTGGTGTGAATTGAGGCCTGTGGGGGCCTGCGAGACCTGGGGGGTCACTGCAAGGCCTGGGAGGGCTGCGAGGCCTGGGGTCACTGCGAGGCCTGGGGTCACTGCGAGGCCTGGAGTCACTGCAAGGCCTGGGGGGGCTGCGAGGCCTGGAGGCCTGCAGATGGCCGGGCACCCACTGTGTGCCGTGAGGAGCAGCCCAGCGCCAGGCAGCACGTCCCCCCCTGCGGCCTCAAACACCCGAGGAGAGCACGCTCCTTGCTAAGGGCTCCCCCAGCAGCACGGTGCGCCTTTCTGCTTGGCTGCAAACCCGCCCCAGCGGAATCCTGCCTTACGCCAAACCCGCCCTCCTGCTGCAGCCCCTTCCCTTGCAGCTGCCGGCTCCGCGCTCAGTCTGTGCTGCTGCCACGCGTGGCTCTGGCGGCCGAACGCAGGCGGCATATGGTGTGTGACAGGGAGCTGGTGGCGGCAGATTTTGGGTTCGTTTTGAGAGACAAACACGGATAAACACAGGCTTTTGCTGTTTAAAAACTGACTCATCATTTTCCTACAACAAAACGTCAAAATCTGGAGGCTCCTGAGGCAGGAGAGCGGCTGCTGTTTGATTACCTGCCCTGGAGCAGCACCGGGATTTTGTCCATCTGTGTTTCTGTGAACCTGCAGCTGCAAATCGACGTCCCGTAAGGCTTTGGGGCCCATGTTTGGGGTGGAGATGGTGAGGAGGCTTCAACCCCTACGGATCGTGTATCTTTGTAGAGCCTACACCTCTGCGGATTCCATACCAATGGAGCCCATGCCTCTGTCACTCACACCTCCCACCTGGGGGTGCATTCCTGAGCCCCACACGGTGTGCTTCCCGTGGTGCTGAGGGCACAGCTCTCACCCCACATTTGGACCATCGCAGCACGGTGCTGGGGCCAGGCAGCCCCCGTTCCCATCTTCCCTCACTGCAGCTCCAGCAGTGACACCGCGTTTGCATTCTGCTCCCACGCAGCTCTGGGATGAATGCAGCGCTCATCCTCTGCCCCCACCACCTCCACGCTGTCCCCAGCACAGCCACCTCCAGCTCCCAGCTGATCCACAGCCCCCCCTCTCGGGGCTGCACCCCCGGTTCGAGGGGCTGCAGATGGGCCCCTGTTTGCATTTGGGGCTGTGCCACCCATCCGGCTGCACAGGTGCCGTCGTCGGCACCTTACGGTGATGGATGGGGTCTAAGAATGGAAAACGTGGCGTCAGCTGTTCTGGGCACATTGTCTGGGAGCGCAGAGGGTGGGGGCACCCCCAGGAATTCGGAACTTTCCAACAGCTGGTGGCTGCTGTGTGATCAGTAGGGGAGGTGTGGGAGCCATAGGGGGGACCCCACAGTGGGTGGGTGGGCTCTGGGGGGGGGAGGAAGGGGCACGGATGGCTCAGCTGGGACCCCCCCCACTCCAGGGATGGCTTGGAAGCCAGGTTTAGCCCCAGACTTTGGGGAGAGAGCTGTGCCCCCCCCATGTTGTTTTCTTTTTATTTTCGGGGAGCTCCCCGCAGCGAGGTGCAGGCTGCGTGCAGGTCATTGCTGCCCCCCCTCCCACTGTATTTATATTTATATATATAAGCTATTTATTTTGGGGGTGGAGGGAGAAATCCTTCATCTCTCCCCCTCTTTTGGGGGCCCCTTTGGGGGTGCCCTCTTCTAAAGGAAGGAGGGAAGGAAGGAAAGAAGGAGGGGAGAGAAGGGAGGGAAGCATCCCGCATCCCTCCCAGCAGCGCGGTGGGAGCGGCCGGGGCGGAGGCAGCGACCGCCCCCCCCCTCTCCTTCCTCCTCCTCCTCCTCCTCCTCCTCCCCTCTCCGCACGCCGGGGCCGCCCGCCCGTCGCCGCGGGGGTCGGTGCGGCGGAGGCCGATCTCGGGCCCCGCGCTGCCCCGAAAGCTCCATGGTGCGGGAGGGGGGCATGGCGCGCCCGCCCTACAGCTCAGCTCAGGACATCCAGATGGACGTCTTCGACAACGCAGCCCTCCAGGTGACACCACCGTTGGGGGGGGGGCTGGGGGTGGAGAAGGGGTCAGAGAAAGCCCTGGGGGGAGGGGGTGCTTAGAACCCCCCCCCCTCCATCCCCTCCCCACGTCCTAGCAGTAAAGGTTCCACCTCCTATAGCTCGGTTCCCCCCCACCCCGTAGCCACACTGCTCCCCCAAATCAAAGCAGACAGTGGGAAGGGGGGGTGCAGCCCCCAAGTCGGGGTGGGGGGGGGACGACAGCGAGCCCCTTTACTGCATCACCTCCTCACGGCTGTGCCCCCCCCGTTTGCCCCCCCGCAGCACCCTGGGTCCAGGGGTGGGTGCACAGTGCCAGGGGGGCACAGGGAAACTTTTGGGGATGGGGCAAACTGTGCAGAGTCAGTGTGTAGTGGGAACCAC